TGCTAACAGGTTCATAATGATTGCGACTTTTTAAAGAATTCGGAGAGAGACAGACTAGCTGTTTCCTCCTGTTTACCAGTTGTTATGCTAAGCTGGGCTAGCCAACTCCCAGGTCTAGCTGGTATGCATATTCTCATCTAACTCTCAGCAAGTGTATTTCCCAAAATGTGATATTTCGCGGGTATGTTTACCATGGTCACCATCTCAGTTTAGTGTATTAGCATGCTAACATTTAGCACTAAACACAATGTACGTATTAGGCTGATGGGAATGGTATTAGGTTTGCATAAACCAAATGTCAAAATGGAAATTTTGACATGATTATGGTGCTAGATAAAAAGCCAGAGGATCACCTAAATTGTTGCAAGGGAACCATACAATATTTCATGACAATCCATCCAGCAGAGATATTCTCGTCAAGGCCAGAGTGATGGACCGACCCACCGACCGCCACCCCGAGAGATATGCTGCTAGTGTTGCTGCAAAGTTGTGACATCTTATGCAGTGTAGTTACCAATTGTTTTTCTTTAGATAAATAATCTATTAGCTCATCTATGCAAAATGACCAAAAATTCTGTCTGTATTTGCATTTTGCACTTCCCTTCTGCTGTGCCGCTTTTCCCTCTTGAACTACTATCCCCCCCCCCCCCCTCCTAATTCTCTGTTGTCCAAAATGTCTCAGTCTGAGAGCTGATATTAGAGCCCCCTTAATCCAAAGGCTGAGGGACCTGCATACTGTTTACCATCTGGTTGTGGCAGCCTGGAAAGCCTGAGTAAGGGCGATAATTGATGAGAGCAGAAAAAGCAAAGGCGCCGAGGGCCCCGCCTCATGGCCAATAACATATCAGTGGTCCCTGTGAGTGGCAGCTCCTGGTGTGCTGTCAGGGTCTTCAGCTGCAACCCTGTAACTCTATGTAATTGTCCTCACTCCAGCTCTGCCTCAATATCTGTCCTTGGTCTTGTGACAGAAATAAAAAATCTAACAATGTCTGCCTTTGATACATTTTTTATCAGGAAACAAACACTAAAAAACAACAGCAAAGTGTCTTTCATAAAGGTTGGAAGTTTGTGTAAAAAGATAGCTGTTAAACATGACGTTTTGTCTCCGCTATGGGGCAGCGACAGTGACCTCGCATCCACCTTAGACATGATACAAGCACACCATGGTTACACAGTGACAGCGGGCCAGCTGCTGCCTCTTTCCTGGAAGGGAAGGCGTGCAAAATCCCCATTCAACCGAAGACCACCGTGTCCTTGTATCAAATCAAAGGGCATTAGAGAAACTGAATGGACACACAGACACATGATTGTTCTGGCTGAATACGAATGCATCAACTCAGTGCTATTGCCCCAGCAGGAGCTGTTATCCCCCACTGCTCAGATAACAGAGCTACCTGTGTCGAGATGATACATGACTGTGGGGAAACAAAGTCAGATTGTCTTTTGTTGTGATTTGAAATGTGGACATAAGGCAGAAACAAGAAGTCTGTAATAATGGTGAAATGTTCTAGCGAAGTATCATTTTATCAGGTTAGAGATAAAAACTTGATTGAGTAACTTTTACCTTAGCTGCCAATATTCTTTACTTAATTAATTTGTGCAGGGCATTGAAAACAAATGTCACAGTTGCATCCTGTTTTTCACAGTGCTAAGCAGGTGAGAGCCTAAACCATGTCATTCTCAGGTGTGCTCAATTAGCAGGCAGAAGATGAGGTAGTCCACGGAGGATGACGGGCATGTTGAGTCACCGGTAAAAAAAAACATTTTTAGTTACAGTGAATGGGCCTTGTTAAATCTAGTTTCCCAAATGAACTCCATTTCCTACCCTCTCCTCACACACTAATTTAGTCCCAGGTGTTCGTAGCTAAGTGGAGTTACCAAGGGTGTTCAGCTCAGTGTTTTCTTTCCATTTACAATTGTTTCTGGAAAGAGCCTGTTGATTTTGTGTCACTGAAGGTGGATTCTCCCCAGTGGCTAATTAAGAGACTTAGGGCTGCGGATAACACCTTAACTTGACACCAGTTTTAATATCTGATCAGGCATTCAAAGTGGCTCCTGCTGGGGCCAGGCCCGCAATGAATGGGAGATCAGGTATTTACCATGACATCTCTGCTTTATTGCATACATCTGACCAATTAACAAGTCTCATGGTACCAACTCATTCACATTCTGAATATTTCATCCACATTGCATAAATTTCTGTTTGGTCCATTTTTTTCACATTCAGTGAATGGATGCAAGAGTGGTTTCATGACGTGCATAGAGGCATACTTTTCATTTTTTTTACTGTTGATTCGTTACTGATTTAAAACGCTGTGAGGTAAAAAAGTCATATTTAATATCATGCTATCGCCAACTGTTTCCTGGACTACTCTTTTCTGTTGGTAGTGTTCCTACAGAGTTGCCCATTGAAGGAGGACTGTGACAACCACACACACACCGTCTTTGTCGCTAAAAGTTGCAGATTGATCGATGAATGGATGTCATGATATTATTGTTTGGAATTGCTCGGTAGCTTACGTAAGCACACGTTATATTTTGTTTTACAGGAAGAAAAGATTATTGGATTTTGATTTTAAAAATATGAAGCACAAAGATTTGATTAAAAGGTATATGTATGTATGTATGTA